GTGGTCGCCTTCAGGGAGGAGAGCTACCCCGGGAATGTCAGGGAGCCATCGGCGTTCCAACTGCATTTCTGAAGCTTCTGCTGTTCTAAAATAATTAGTGGCAAAATCTAAGGAGTTGCTAGGGGTTGGTAGCTGGGTGGTAGGCCCCCCGCTCTACATGTTAATAGCAAATCAAATCTGAGAATATATGTTTAGGATGGATCATCATTGAATAAATCGTAAAAATAAGCAGAAAATAGCTTCTCAAACAGCAGTGCGAGCTTTTCAGGTACAGTTCAAACTGTGCCGAACAGTCTCCTCTAGGGCCGTCTCCTTATAATCCACCACCTTTGGCAGCGAACAGCTTACGATTATAATTTATAAGTCTTAGAGGGAGGCTCTTCAGGAAATAAATTCTTCCCTCACGCCGAAAGAAAACATTCGATTAATTACTCAGCCAAACGACAGAGTAATTAAGGGAACCAGAGTAAAAATTACGTGTTACTTTACCGACATTCTTCACTTTCACGATCATAAGATCACACACACAGAAAGTGCTTACATCAGTGCATGAAGTCTGAAAAGCTGTGTAACGATGTCATCACGAAGGAATTCTCATTTCTCTGTCTAAACACAGGCAACCTACTCTCTTAAATGGACCCCCATTCTGCTCTTATTCTTTGAAGAAATGTGCTTGTTCTTTTGTATCTGATGTGTTAAATTAAAGACACAGAATAATTATGAGGGTATTTCAAATAGTTCAGGAAATACAATTAACAAGATAAATTTATTTTGGTACAAAAAAAATTGAAACCCATGCACACGAGGGCGTCTTCAAAACATTCATGGAAAATATACATTTTGAAGAAACCATGAGTGGACTCCAAAGAAAAAAAATTGCACCAAAAATCATATAATTCAGTTTTTCATTAACTTTTTTGAAGTGTCTTATTACACTTACTTTTCTTGACTAATCATTTTTAGTAAGACAAATCACTCTGATTTAACATGGTTCCCAGAACATGAGTATGAACCTTGACTCTTCTCTCTGAATTGGCTCTGGCCAACGTCTGCCAGCTCTTTGATAACACTTGGGGACCTCAGTCCTGGGTTCAGTGACCCTGTTGTTACTACTTCAGCCCTTTTCCCTTGGGTCACTGGAATTAACTTATAGTTGTGTGCGTCATGATGGTCCTGGTCTCCGTACTCAGTTTCAAACAGAAAAATGTCCCACAGCCTCCTCCTGCCCATGTATCCCATCCAGCTTTCCTACGAAAGCAGGCACAGTCAGGTGAAGGCGTTTTACACTTGACCTTGGATCAAACCATTTAACTAAAAAGGGCAAAGGGGAGGTTTCAAGCATTATACAGGGAAGAGGAAGATTTTAGGCTGGAATTACTTTCCCAGTGGCCTCTGTCATTCTACGTCACAGTGACTGTCTACTCACGCACACGGCTGCAGTAATCAGAGGTATCAATGGATGGGAAAAAATGCAGAAGCAGACAAGCCTTACTGACAACAGCTCAGTGCAAACACCAGAAACTAACAGGACCACCCCAACTGCGCTGCAAATGAGATGTGAGAAAAGACTACGAGGACTTGTGGAAAACTCTCCCTCGTGCTTCAAAAAGACGATGAGGGTGGTCCATTTCCTGCCCTGGGATCTTGCTGGAGGAAGTGATGCCCACCCTTGCTGCCACGTTTAGTGGCAAAGGACAACTACATCCTGGCTTCACTGCAGGTGTGCCACATTTGTTCTTCACGCTGAAGCCACTTTTACTTGGCTTTTCTCTTGGTTGAAGCCCAGTGCATCACAACCATGCCCCTGTAACAACTACTTCCTGGGTCAGCACTGTGCCATAGCAGGCAAAGCCACCAACTGTGCCGGCATCCCATGTGGGTGCTGGTTCAAGTCCTGGCTGCTCCACTTCCCATCCAGCTGTCTGCTTTGGCCTGGGAAAGCAGTAGAAGATGGCTCAAGCCCTTGGGCCCCTGAAACCACATGGGAGACCTGGAAGAGGCTCCTGGCTTCGGATTGGCCCAGCTCCAGCTGTTGCTGCCATTTGCAGAGCGAACCATTGAATGGTGGATCTCTTTTGCACACTCGCTCTCTGTCTCCGTAACTCTTCCTTTCAAAGAAATAAATAAATTTTTTAAAAAATTACTTCCCACATCTACCTCCCAGGGAACACCACTGGTCGTCACTGCTGACGGCTGCTTCCCTCCCATGGCAGGTGCTCAGCGGGTGTGTGTTTCCAGCCCCCGTTCTGACGATCTCCTTCGAAAACACCAACTCTCATCTTTATGTTCCACCAACTTCCAGTATTCAACTGAGGTGACTCTGTACAGTGACTAACAGTATCTCTGGCTCCAGAGGCGGAAATACCAAAACTTCTTCTAGTCAGATAAATGATTCCTAAAATATACCATATATAATTTATCAAATTTTATAGATGTACCAAAATTTGCAGTTTAACATGTCTATAAGTAGGAAGTTTTTATACAGTTCCAATAGGCTAATAGCTCAGAAAAATGTTACAAGGATATTAAATGTATGTATATACAGAGGTCAAGTAACATCATAACCTTCCACTCTATACAACAAACCTGTGCAACAAAACGCCGAGGACTTATTTTATAAAAATATTTATTTTCATTTTCATTTGAGAAGCAGAGACACACACAGAGAGACAGAGATCCGCCATCTTCAAATGCCTACAACTGCCAGGGCGGAGCCAGCCCAGGTCCAGGAGCCCAGGTGTCAGTCTGAGTCTCCCACGTGGATGGCAGGGAGCCAAAGTACTTCAGCTTTCATCCGCTCCCTCCCAGGTTGTTCAGTAGCAGGAAGCTGGAGTTGGAAGTGGAGCCAAGACTTGAACCCAGGAACCCTGATACGGGATAGAGGCGCCCCCTCCACCGTGCCTGACACCTCCCTTCTCCACCTCCTTTTAAGCATCTTAACAAACAAGAAATACACGGTTGCAACTCTAAATATGTAAAACATCACACACAAACCTCCTCTTTTCACACACACACACACACACACACGCACACACACAGCAGCAGGAAATGCAAAGCCTCTGATCCAAACAAGGGCCCCTGGCAGAGCATTCGAGACTCCAGTGACGTGTCCTGGCATCGTCAGGCTGGAAACCGAGGGCTCCAAGGACTGAGAGTCATGACGACTGTGTTGTCGCTCTCAGAACAACACGTTTCACACCAGCTGTGGTGGCGCTGGTGTCCTGGGACAGAGTCCCTTTCTTTGGGTCTCATCAATTAATCAGCCCCAAGAGGTGACAAGCAGGGGAGAGGCTGGGGAGGCGGAAGAGGTCCCTAAAGAAATCAGCTCCCCGAGGAGCATTCTGCCAGGGCTTCCGTGTGTCTGTGACGTGGAAAAGTGGGGTCTGTGCTGCCGAGGCGACACCCATGTTCACACAGTGCCTGACGCACACGGGTCTCCTGCAGCTGTAGAGCCCGGGCCCCTCTGAGTGCAGAGCCGTGAGATAACCTGCCTGGAACATCCTCTGAGAATCAAGCTCAAGCTAGGAAACTGTTCCTGTCCTCCGCCTCTGTCACTGTGTCCCACCTCTTGCCTAAACCCCAAACTCACGGTTACAGTGCTGACAGTGATGGCAGCCGCAGTGGCAGTGAGAATATGACTGGCAGGTAACACGGGCTCAAGGCTTGCGATGTGTGTGACAGGCGCTGTGTAACTGCTTCACATGCAAACGCAGACATACTCACTCACTGATCAGGGATCGCAACCATGGCTACTGAACACACACAACTGAGTCTTTGGTTGGCTACGTCCTCCATTTCTTCCTCTACCTCTTCCTGTTAGGTTCTTCTGGGGGTGGGATGAGATGGGAAAAGTGCACATGGAAACAGGGAAAAGTTTAAACTGATTCATTTCACTGCACCCCAGTGAGACGGATGGATTCTCACGGTTGAATTTGGGAACAGAATGAGGAAACACTGCAAAATCCAGCGTTAAGTCTTCAACCAGACAACATTTATGATGATGACAACAGAACCAGGTCTCCGTGCCATCCCAACACATGAAGAGTAGCACTAATCACAGACTCAAGTTCTAAAACAATTTTAGATAGACAGAGAAGGTTTAGAAAATTAACTATCAGGAAGGGACTAAAGAAATGAAGAGGAAAATTTTGACCTCCACATTCATTGGGCAGTGTTGGTGAAATTCTGCGTGACCTATGAATAGTTGCGTCACTGTTCATATTATTTTGTAAGTGTCCATTAACAAGTCTGTTTCCTCCTCTAGATTAGAAACACCTGAAGTCAGGAGTCAACAGAGACCCCAGCATCCAGCACAGCCCCTTCGTGTATGTGACGACGGAGCTTACTACCCAACATCAGGAGTTTCTGGGGGAGTCAGTTTTGGTTAAAATCCTGTCTCTCACATACTGGTGGAGTTATTAAGGCAGAGTCACTGGGTGATGCCAAGCCTCAGTAGTATCATCTATAAAGTGGATTTACAGGACCCGACCCATCCATTCTGGTGCATAAAGGCTGTAACAGAGGCACAGCTTTTAGTTCAACAGCTTACATACAACACTGAACAACTGGCAAGAGTCATAAGGCCTCAATGTATAGATGGATGGTGTGCTGAACCGTGATGCCAGCAGGCATAAATAAATGAGGAAACAAAACCAACCCCGGCCTTCAGACACTCCTAGTCTGCACCCAACGCAGCACTCACTGCTGAAGCCCGATGCCGCAGGGAGTCAGGGCATGGCGGACTTCAGAGACGACCACACTGACACAGGACCCTTCAGTGTCACTCGCTGTCCACTGATGCCTGGCCTAAGGTCCAGAAATCTCCTTCCTCCCATGTACAACTTCTGGAAGTCTATGAACTCCCTGTGTGCTTCTGGACTCCTACTTTGAAACTCCTTTCCAAACTCACACTGTTGTAAATTCAGGCTTGCAGGTGCATGGTCCTCTCAGGGCCCCACAGCCGTTTTGATGACTCTGTTCATCCTCGTGTGTCCTCTTACCTGAAACTTCACCTTCTGATTGATGTCCGGGAGGCGGAACTGCTTCAGGAAACGCTCGTCCTCGCTCCAGAAGAGGCGGATGTCCGGGATGTCGTACAGGATCATGGCCAGTCTCTCTAACCCGAGGCCAAAAGCCCAACCTACTCGGTCTTGAGCACCAGCTACAATTAGGAGAGAAAACAAAACAGAACAAAACACTGAGTTTAAAAGAGTACAAAGGCCCGACAGGTACGTACTACGTCCCCATGGCTACGAGAACATCGCTGGAGCCGCTACGAGAGTGAGGCCTTGGCGAGCTGCTGCAGGGACCCCCAGTCCCTCACGTCAGCCCCACACGGTGCACCTGCCCGGGGACAGCACCCCAGAGTCACTGTCCCCAGTAACGTCTTCCGTGTCTCATTAAAGTCAGGCTCTTTCCAGCCCTGCTTCGTGCCTCTGAGCTATGATTTTTCTGAAATCTTTCCTCACTGTAATTCAAACATTTAGCCTACTGTGTGCAGGATACGGAGGGAGACACCAGACAGTCTCTAAGTGGCTTATTAGAGGGGGCACCTGTTCCAGACACGACCGAGGGGACCAGGACCATTCGGAAAGTGCGTGTCAGGACTTTAGAGCTTCCACTTTATCGAGACATTATGATGCTGGTTCTTTAAAAAAGGGTTTTTGTTTTTAACTTTTTTATTCTTTTTGGTTTTTAAATTTATATGATTGGAACAAATTCCCCACATACAGTTTTAAGAGCATAATGATACTTCCCACCCTACCCTTTTCTTATTTTTAATTTTTATAATGATATATTTTCAATTTACTTTATAACCACAAGCATAATCCACCACTTAATAAAGAATGCATCAAGTAGGAAGTAGAAAAACCACTGTTACTATAGACAAGGGCTATAAACAATAATCAAATCTCAAAATGTCAATTTCGCTTATATATATTACTATTTTGTGCTCTGTATATCAGTTACCACACATCAGAGAAAACATGTGATCTTTGTTGTTTTGATGTTGGCTTATGTCACTGATGTTTATTCTCAGTGAGAGCTACCCCAGCAATGTACAGACTGCAGGCAGGCCATGGCGAATGCATACCAGCACCACTTGCTCCAAAGGTCAAGTGTTCTGTTTGGATCAGGTCAATGTCATCAAGTCACAGGGTTTATTCTGCGTGTGAGACAGGGTCAGAAAGCAGACACAAACTGCAGTAGGGAGGAAAGAAGGGCTGATGGCCGCAGAGAACTCCACCGGGACACTAGAGGATGAGGAGGGTCCAGGGGCAGGCTGAGATGGCCTCAGGTGCCCACGCCCCGTTCCCACGCCCTGGGTACATTTCCTACTTCAAGCGTGGTGGGACCCATGAAAGGACGGCATTGCTCTCCTGTGATTAGACTCTCCCCTGTCTGGCTGCAGAGGGCCCTGGCTGGCTGTGAAGAAGCTGCTGTGAGGCCCATGTGGCTGTGACCCCTGCAAGCCTGGAGGAGCTGAGAGAGGCACTGGCAACCAACAGGAAAACGGGGACCTCACTCCTAGAGTTGTGAAGAATGAATCGGCCCAACAGCCTGGCAGACTGAGAACACGGCTCCCCGGCACCTGGACTTCAACCTGTGGCAGCCTTGAGCAGGGGGACCCTGCCAGTCTGAATCTGGACCCCTGCTTCTTTAAGCAACTAAGTACGAGTTAATTTGTCACTCGGCTTAACTAATTAACCCAGCCACCCGGATCCAAAACATGGAAGGTGGCGGGAAGTTCTCTGTTCAGTAGCACAGGGCCGGAGGACGGCCCGGGAAGGCTGAGAAGTGGAATCTGGAGACGGACAGGGGAGGCCGGGCGCTGAGGCCCTGCAGAGGACCTGCTCCAGCCGGCCCTCCCAGGACATGGAGCTGCTCCCGGGTGATGGATAAAAACTACTCAGAATGCGACCACGAAAAGCAAATCATGGAGACGGCCAGTGAGCGGCTTCTACGTAGCAGGGAGGGCACAGGTTAGGGAGAGTGAGCGGTTGACCAGGCGTGTCCTCGGGCAGCAGTGAACTGTGCCGGCGAGGACGAGGAAAGCGGGCTAGCCAACCACAGGAATGAACGGGGTTCCCACGGCACTGGCACCTCCTGAGCAAGTGGCCCACTGCCTAAGCAGCACCTGAAACAACGAGGCAGAATGTTTTGCAGTAACTCACACTGATGCACAAAAACCTCAAAGGAAGGCAGATGACTCATTACAGACGCGAGCATTAATACAACACCAAGACACTGCCTTATATCTAAAACCATTCGTACCTACTAAAAGAAGCTTCTAAAAAATAATAGAGAGATGTGGCTCTGGTATTCTCACTTATTTCTAGTGACACTATGAATCTTTACAACAATCTAGAAAGCAACAGGGCAATACACACAGAAATCCAGGAAGGAGCTGGCACTGTGGCTCAGCCATTAGACTGCTGTATGCAACACCAGAGGTGTCTGGGGAAGCAGTGGAGGATGGCCCAAGAGCTGGGGCCCCTGCCAACCATGTGGGAGACCTGCAGGGGTTCCTGGCTCCTCGCCTGAGCCTGGCCCAGCCCCGTGGTTGTAGCCATGTGAAGAGTGAACCAGCAGATGGAAGATTTCTCTCTTTCCCACTCCTCTGTAACTCTGCCTTTCAAATACATAAATAAATCTTTTCAAAAAAAAATGTGAAAATACTCATCCACTGTGTCCTTACAGTTTCTGTCAAGAACTTATTCTAAGAAAACGATTCAGTAAGGCAAATATATAAATGAAGGAAAATTTTCAGAGCAGTATTACTGACAACAAAAACATGGAAATGACCTAGGTGTGCAAAATTAAGGAATCATTCAAACTATATATTTTAATATAATCGGTAAAATAATTATAGAAATAAATGATTACTAAACATAAAATATCAATGATAAAATAAGTATCTCCTATAATATTACTCCTTAATATAGGCACAAGTGATGGTTAAAAATTAACAAATAAGAACAAAATAGGAATTTGAAGATTCACAGTGGGTAGTAGAGGCTAGAAGGAAGGGAGGGTGTGGGAACGTGGAGACAGGGTGGTGGGTAGGTACAGGGTGAGCTAGGTAGGAGGAATAACCCTCACAGTGGTGAGTAGGTACGGGGTGAGCTAGGTGGGAGGAATAAACCCTACAGTGGTGAGTAGGTACGGGGTGAGCTAGGTGGGAGGAATGACCCCTACAGTGGTGAGTAGGAATGGGGTGAGCTAGGTGGGAGGAATGACCCCTACAGTGGTGAGTAGGAACGGGGTGAGCTAGGTGAGAGGAATGACCCCTACAGTGGTGAGTAGGTACGGGGTGAGCTAGGTGGGAGGAATGACCCCTACAGTGGTGAGTAGGTACGGGGTGAGCTAGGTGGGAGGAATGACCCCTACAGTGGTGAGTAGGTACGGGGTGAGCTAGGTGGGAGGAATGACCCCTACAGTGGTGAGTAGGTACGGGGTGAGCTAGCTGGGAGGAATGACCCCTACAGTGGTGAGTAGGTACAGGGTGAGCTAGGTGGGAGGAATGACCCCTACAGTGGTGAGTAGGTACGGGGTGAGCTAGGTGGGAGGAATGACCCCTACAGTGGTGAGTAGGTACAGGGTGAGCTAGGTGGGAGGAATGATCCCTACAGTGGTGAGTAGGTACGGGGTGAGCTAGGTGGGAGGAATGATCCCTAATGTTCCATAGCGCAGCAAGGTGACTCTGGCTTACAATAATTAACCGTGTGTTTTTCAAACATAGTGATTTTTAGAATAAGTTACATATTTTAGCTGAGCTTTTGAAGAAATCTTTTTAATTTTGGGTACCTTCAAGTCTTCGCCAAGGCAGAATGATCCAACAAAAGCTGTAGGAAGAATGTCACATGTCCCTACAGAAAGAACTGAGAAATGTTTGAAGTGATAGGCACAACAATTAATCTGGTGTGATCATTACACATTCTGCCCATTATCAAAATGTCACATATGCCCCATTAATATGTACAATGACTATGGTCAATTGAAATTTTTAAAAATATGAAAAGAGAAAAGGAATTACCATGAGTGACAGTTCTAAAACAACTTTTAATTGACAAACAAGAATTATGTATATATTGATGTCATTCACGATGTTTTGATACATGAACACACGGTGCAGTGACTACACTGAGCCAATTAATACACTCCATGATCTTACACGTTTATAATTTTTTTTTCTGGTGAGAACGCTTAAAATTTACTCTCTTAGCAAATAGCAAGTACCCATTATATCAGTGTTAATTATAATCACTATGTTGTGAGACAGATTTTCTCGAATTCATTTCTCCTAACTAAAACTTTGTATCTTTTGACCAACTGTAGAAATCGTCTTGAACAGCTAGAGTTTTTCCAAATTAAAAACAAAATCACATCAGGAAAAGTAGATTGGGATATTAAAGCTGCTTTGTAACTCAGGTTTTCTCCTTAGTCATTAGGTCTTCCAGATTTTATTATCAAAATACATTAGCTAAAGCCAACCACCTTCAGCCTCACATCTTAACAAATAGCAGACTCAGCATATCTGACTTTCAGTAATTTCTTCTGATGTCTAGTAATTCTTTTATTTGCTTCCTTTACCCACAATCCCTCACTTGCTTCCTCCTCCCCCCCCCAAAAAAAAACTTCCTTTAAAGCAAAAACAAGAGTAATAAAGAGCCCCTTAGAGTAACAAAAGGCACAACAATTTAATTTTAAAAATAGGCAAAGAATAGGAGGCCATTCACAAAGAAAGAAAAATAGTCCTTAAATGAAGGAAAAATTTACTTAAGAAAGAAGCAAGATCAAAGTGAACAAGTTACCGCACTTCATTTATCAGATTGGCCAAAATAAAAACATTTAATCACATACTGGCAGCAAAGCTGAGGACAAGCACTCTCGTACGTTGCTGGTGGGATCACATGTGGGCTTTTAACCTGGTGACCTAAGGAATGCGATGCAGCAGCAGCTATCAAAATCACAAATGCATATACCATCTGTCCCTTTAATGCCTAGAAAGTGCTCTACTTATAGGGAATTATGAATGCATATGGCTTTTCATTGGAGCACTACTTGTAATAACAAGACAGTAAGCAAACCACATGTCTGTCAATGGGGAACTGGTTATATGAATTATGCTATACCCATACAATGAAGTGTTATTATAAA